TCGGAGCCCCATTCGGGACGTCGATGGGCAAGATTCGGAGCAGGAGCGCGGCCGCCGCAGGCAAGATTCGGAGGTGGGATTCGGCTACATGAGGTGCGATCAGCGCCGTCCTCAGCAGCCTCTCAGAAGCATCGGAGGAGCCCCTTGGGAGCTTCTCCGGAGCCTCTCAGGATCATCTCAGACTCTTCGCGCTCGCGCCCGCGCAAAGGCGGGCTCAATGCCCCCCCGGCGCTGCGTCGTGAAATGGAGCGTGCGATTTGCATCTTTCAGATTTGAAGAGGAAGCCGCATTCACATGCCATCTTGGGGGGGCAGTTCAGCCCGAGACTGAGGCTGAGGCTGAAGCAGGCTGAGGCAGAGGCAGGCTGAGGCTGAGGCTGAGGCAGGCTGATGCTGAGGCTGAGGCTGAGGCTGAGGCTGAGGCTGAGGCTGATGCAGGGTGAGGCTGAGGCAGGCTGAGGCTGAGGCCGAGGCTGAAGGCAGACTGATGCTGAGGCTAAAGCAGGCTGAGGCTGAGGCTGAGGCAGGCTGAGGCTGAGGCAAGCCGAGGCTGAGGCTGAGGCTGCGGCTGTGACTGCGACTGCCGTTGCCACTGCGAATGTCATCGCGAATGCGACTACGACTGCGAGAACAGCATAATTCTACAACTGGATTCTCATCTGAATCTTCAGGGGAATGCTTCCAGATATGCTCTGGCACATCGCTGCTAGGTTGTTTTGCCAGGATACGTACTTTCTTTGCCGTTCCCGAGTCAGAAACGTGTGGCAGGGCCATAGGGGCCGATAGATTTTGATTGTACATGCGTTTTTCGAACAGGCAGAGCATTGGAGTTAGTTTGTTAAGTGAACTATTGTTTAGCGCACCTCTCACACCCTTCCTCCTCCTTTTCTGCCCCCGCAGCTGTCCAGGCCCAAGCTCCCCCGAGTCTCCTAGCTTTCGAGCCTCTTCGAAGCGCCGGGCCTCTTCGCCCCAGGGGCAGCGATAGGGGGATAGGCATGCGTATGCATCGGCGATGCACCGCCGATGCGCAGGCATTGGGGGGGGGGCATCGACGTGGAATCGGCGATTTATCGCCGACGCATCGGGCGCGCATCGCCGATGCATCGGCGATGCATCGCCGATTCCAGGTTGATGCCCCCCCCCCACTGTATATCCCCCCACATCGTTGCCCCTGACTGCGTCGCGAGCCCCAGCGATGGCCCAGCCCGCCGAGTGCGCCGCGGCGGCGAGCGCCCCCGTCGAGGCGCTGAAGAACGCGGCGGCCCCGAGCCCGAGCTCGAACGATATTCTCGAGCGCGTGGCCAAGCCGGACGAAAAGATCCTCGATCAGCTGTCCAACATCGCCGAGAAGGCTTCCATCGCCGAGATGCGCCAGTGCCAGCCGAGCGCGCAAGGCACGGATGCAGCGATGATGACGAGCTGCGACTTCAAGGCCGAGAGCGCCTTGTGGCCAAGCAGCGCCCAGCAAGCCGCGCTCGAGGTGGCGCGCCGAGGCGGGCCCTGCAAGAGCATCGAGCACGGCCGCATTTTCAACGGGACGGACAAGAGGCGCATCGAGCTGGCCGTGGCGGTGTTCTACAAGACCTACGTCGAGAAGGGCGAGCACGCGTGCGACATCTTCGAGCACCACGGAGAGCCGCCCGAGGACCTTCTGGCTCATGCCGAGCTTCAGGGCCAAGCAGCAGGGGCTCGCCAAGAAGAGAGACATGGAGTTCGGCGCCGGGAACGTCGAGAAGCTGACCCACGGCTCCTACGCCGAGCGCATCGGGCATGCCCTCCCGAGCATCGCCGCCGAGCTCCTCCACCCCCGCGAGCTTGCGCTGCCGCTCAACAAACAGTTCGAGCCCGTCGTGTACTTGGACGAGGGGCCCTTCGAGAATTCCGAGACCCTCTTCAACGTGATTCCGAGCAGGGCCCGAGATTGTGCCAAGTGGTGCGACGAGACTTCCGCAGTCTCGATGGCGACCGACGGGGTCGCCGAGGCCACCGCTCAAGCAAATGTCAAGCGGTGTTGGACCATCAGGAAGACCGCCGACATGAGCTACGAGCTGCGCGGGCAGTGCTACCAAGACAAGCGCGCCAGGCGGGACTATTCGAAAACCGTCAAGCAGCAGCAGCAGCACGAGCATATGCTTCTCGATAACCACATCAAGCTGCCGTTTGGTACGTTTGCGTCGATCCAGGCCGAGCGCGACGAGCTCACCGCGAACGAGCGCGATGACGAGAGGGGCCAGGCCGACGCACAGGCCGATTCAGAGCCCGCCTCGTTCATGCTCGTGGACGCCTGAGCGCGCGAGCTCCCCGAGCCAAGTCTTTGCTACGAGGGCGCCGTTTCGAGGCGCGCGCTCGAGCCCCATCTGTTTTTTTCAAGCTCCAGGAGAGCGCTCGAGCACGCGCGAGCGGCGTTCCAAGCTGCGGGGTGCTACTTCCCCCCTCTCTCCGGGTGATCCTCGATCAAGCGTCGAGGGATCAAGCGGGCTCGGTCCTCCATCCTCGGATCGATGATCCGAGATCTTGAATCCGAGCATCTTCGGGCACCTTGGGTCCGAGATCCGAGGGCCGCCAAGCTTTGACTCGAAGGTCTCGGATTCGCGATCCGAGGATTGAGGATCGAGCCTCGGCGATCCTCGATCGTCACTCTGCCGCCGAGCATGCTTGACCCTCCATCCCCGGATGGAGGATCCGAAATCTGGAGTCCTAGCATCTCCGGGCACCATGGGTTCTAGATCCGAGGGTCGCCAAGCTTGGACTGGAAGATCATGGGTTCGACGCCCAAGGCTCGAGGACCGATCATGGGCGATCGCTGATCGCCCCCGCCGCCGCCCTCGAGCCCGCACTGCCACCAAGCGGGCTCGACCCTCCATCCTCGGACCGGGGGGCCGAGATCTTGGTCTTGAGCATTTGCGAGCACCTCGGATCCTAGATCCGAGGGTCGCCAAGCTTGGACTGGCAGATCTCGGGCCCCCGATCCGAGGCTCAAGGACCGAGCCTCGGCGATATTAGGTCGCCCCCCTCGCCGTTCTCGAGCCCGCGCTGCCGCCGAGCAGGTTCGATCCTCCATCCGCGGAACGAGGGTCGGAGATCTTGGTCTTGAGCATATGCGAGCACCTCGGATCCTAGATCCGAGGGTCGCCAAGCTTGGACTGGACGATCCCTGGTTCGATATCCGAGGCTCGAGGACCGAGCCCAGTGCTCCCCTGGTCGTCCTCGGGCCCACTCTGCCACCGAGCAGGCTCGATCCTCCACCCTCGGACCGAGGATCTGAGATCTTGGTCTCGAGCATCTGCGAGCACCTCGGATCGTAGATCCGAGGATCGCCAAGCTTGGACTCCAGGATCTCGGGTCCTCGATCCGAGGGTCGAGAGTTGAGCCTCGACACCTGGCGGCCACGCGCGCGCGCAAACGCGCGCGCAAACGCGCCAACGCACGCGCACGCACGCACGCGCGCACGCACGCGCGCGCGCACCCGCACGCTCGGACACCCGCACACACACAGAGTCACACACACCCACACTCCTACACACACACACACACTAACACGCACTCGCACCAACTAACACAAACACAAACAACAACAGCTGCACACTCGCACGTTCGCAAACAGCAACGAGACAGACAAAAGAGCAAGAGCAACCATACAAACAAGAACAACAAGAAAAACACGAACAAACAGCCGTGGTCAGTTTGGGCTCAAGCATTCCACGCCAGCTGAGGGCGCAGCATACCATGGCCGAGACGCAGCACCCCATGGCCGAGTCGGACAGCGACGATCGTCGGCCTGTCGCCGCGCGGTCGGACGACGGGAGCGTCGGCGAGTGGGCGAAGGGCGACGAGTGGACGGGGGGGGGCGGCGCCCGCCACGCCGGGGGACGACGCCAGCAAATGCAAGGGCGAGAGCCTCGAGGGCAATGAGCTTGACGACAAGAAGGCCACGCTCGAGGTCCAGCCGGATGGCGTGAAGGTCGAGGTGGAGGACAAGAAGGGCCCCCCCAAGCTCGATATCACGAAGAAGCTGGAGGTCGAGCTCGGCCCTGAGGAGAAGCGCAGGCGCCTCTGCAAGCCCGCAACGACGAGGCATCGCGATGCCTCGCAGGCCTCGGCCCCGAGTCCTGATTCAGCCCTGGGGCGCCTCGCGGGCCGCTGGGAGCTCTGAGCGAGGTGCCTTCGGGCAGAGTGAGGACGAGGCGCTGGGAACTCTGAGCGATGCGACCCCCAGCCTCGAGGACGCCAGGAACAATGACAAGAGAGAGGTGCCAAAGCAACAAAGACACCAGCACAAATAGCACGCGCACGCGCAAGCAACGCGCCAAGCGCAAACAACAGCGGCGGCCACGCAAACAGCTGCAACTGCAACCAGCATAACAGCATCACCACCACCAACAACATAATCAACAACAACCACAACAGCAACACCAGCAACTGACGCAAAAAACAAGCCACAACAGCAGCTAAACAAGCACGAACCACAAGCGAACACCAAGGAGCACCAACGACAAGCTGACACTAGCAACCTTTCGTAGCCACGCTGGCTCGAGGGGTCTGTTTCGAGCGACTGCAGCCTTGCAGCGAGACTCCGATGGTCGCGCCGACGAAGCAGACGAGCTGGCCCAGCGCCTGGGGCCAGCAGACCTCGCCGCCCGCGGTCCCGAGCTCGCGCGAGAAGCTGAGAACCTCGCCATGCGCGACGGCCGACTCCGCTGCGAGCTTCTACACGCAACTCGAGGCCGCGAGGCTCGAGGCTGAGACGGCCGAGCAGGATTCCTCGTCCTCATATTTCTTCAGCCTTCCTCTTCTGTCTTATTATCATCATTTTTAGTATTGTTGTCCTCTTCCTCTTATGCTTCGGGTCGAAGTTGCTGTCGCTTCGTGCTGACTAGCAGCAGCTTCAAAAATGCTTTGCCTTCTCCTCCTCCTGTCTCCCCTTGCGCTTCTCCCCCTTGTCTCCCCCCCCCCAGGGGCCGAACTGTTGCATCTCCGTATATGTGTATATATGTCCGTATAATGGTTCCCTGTATGCGTATACCCGTCTTCCCCCCTTTGGCCAGGACACGCCGCCCCAACACGTCCGTAGCCTGTTTGGGCTTTAGGATCCATGCATTCTTCGGGGTCACGGCCACGAGTGTCTCGGTGGCCGCGAGGCCTGCTGCGAGGCCCGCCATCCGCCCTCCTCGCGCTCCTGGCGGCAGCACTGGGAGGGGACGGTTGCTGGCCTGACTCGCGGCAGGCGCGTGGCTGGGTGGCCCAGGCGAATTTCGAGGACCTCGACCGTGGAGACGAGGACCTCTGGGAGGCGCTGGAGGCCGTCGTGCCCGCGCCCGAGGTGGACGGGCCCGTGCCGATCGACCTGTTGGCGGTGGCCCAGGGCGAATGCTACTGCAGCACGGGCAGCACAGCAGGCGGCCTCGAGCAGTGCCGGTTCGCGTGGCGGGCGCTGCGGGTCTCCAGCGCAGTGCCGCCGCGGCGCTTCGCGACGGCCGAGTTCCTTGTCCGCGACGACGGCTACTGGGACTGGTGGGCCAGCCAGCCTGGGCAGCCGAGCGCGGTGACAGAACGCCCGTTCATCCACGTGTGCTCGGGGAACCCGTGCTCAGTCGTGGAGGGGCCAGGGACGTGCACCGAGCTGGTCCACGTGGCGGACGGGGAGGAGCTCGGCCTCACGGACCTGCGGGCGCTGTTCGTCGAGTGCCAGGAGGCGCGCCCGGAGGCGGCTTGGCCAGGAGCATGCCTCGGGCCGCTGGTCGCCGCCGCCGCCCCCGCGAGGCCTGCTGCGGTGGCCAGAGCGACGGGTCGCCCGTCAGCCGCAGCAGGTCCTCCCAGGGCCCCGCCTGGCGCTGCCCCCTTCGACGACTTGCGAAGCATAGGTGGCTCGTCGCGCGGCCCTGGCTCAGAGCTGGCCGCAGACGAGGAGGCAGCCGCCGCGGGCGGCCTGGGGGGCAAGCTCGCACGGGGCTCGTGTGCGCCTCGAGGAAGGGAAGCGGGCTGCTGAGGACGTCAGCTTGAGCGGTCCCCCCCTCGGCGCAGAGGCGGCTGGCAAGGAGCCTGTGAAGAAGCGGTCGCTCGGGGACCTGCTGGTCGAGCGCGCCGCGAAGCTCACGAGGGCCGCCTCGGACGCGGGCCCCCGAGGGTCAGGGGACCCCGTGCCCGAGCAGTCGCCGCCAGGAGCTGGTCTGAGCGGCGGCACGGCGGAGCTGGCGCAGGCGGTCGTGAAGGCCATCCGCGAGGGCAAGGAGGCTCCCCCTGGCGGCAGCGGCGGGGACGGCCTCGGCTCCCTGGACCCCGCGGCGGTGCCGCGCGACCTGGCCACGAGGAGGGCCTTCTGTCGTCGGACGGCCGCCGCCTCCACGGGCCGCCTCACGGAGCTGAGCCTGCAGCAGGTGGCGGACTTCCTGGATTCGCAGGAGGGGGGAGGCGGCCGTCGACGCGACGGGCCCGATCGCGCTGCGGTACCTCCTCAAGGTCTACCTGCCGCAGCATCCGGTGAAGGAGATCGGCGTGCAGACGCACCGTGTGTTCCGCACCCTCGCGGAGGCGGTGGACCTGCTGATGCAGGGGAAGGTGGCCCACGCCTGCGACCTGATCGTCCAGCGCCTAAGGGCGCTGCAGGTGGCAACGACGGACGGCTCGTGGGCGGCGGCGAGGTGGTTGGTACTGATCCCGCCGCGCAGCGATCCCACGGCCATCTGCAGCGAGGAGGAGGAGCTCATCCGCAGCATCCAGCTCGGCGGGATGAGGTTGGACGAGCTCTCCGCGCGCCTGGCCTCCGCCAAGGCGCCGGGATGGGGCGGAGGCCCGACGGGGGCGCGCCCGCCGCTGGCGCCTCCGTCTGTTGGCCAGGGGTCGGCAGCCCCACCGCCGTGGAAGATGTCCTTCGCGGAGATGCGGAAGGAATTCCCGAAGCAGCCAGTGGAAACGAACACCCTGCACCGCCTGCGAGCCTTCAAAGCTCGCGCGGCGGCGCGCCCCCGTCGGACCTGAGCGGCGGCAGCCTGCCGCCTGCCCCGCGCTATGGTGGAGCCTCCTCAGGGAGGGTGGCCGATGCCCCCATCAAAGGCGCGAGCCCTGCGAGGGGTGCTGGTGGGGGAGTCCGCGGCGGAAGCCAAACTCGGTTTACCGAGAGCGGAGATCGTGCCACCCTATGCGAGGGGGGTGAGGGCGTCGCGGAGCCCCCGCTGGCCACCGCGCTGCAGTGCTGGGCCGACGAGCTCTCCCTCGGCTTCGGCAAGAGCCTCGTCGCGGTCGACCTGGCGGCGCAGCTGGCAGCAGCAGTACGACGCCACCCAGGCAGCCTTGGCCACTTCGCTCGGTCGTTCAGCATGCGTGCGGACACATTTTGTGGGAGCGGAGGGTCGTCGAACAGGAGGGTTCGGGACGCCCTGCCGCTTCCCCTTCCGTCGACCGAGGAGGTGGGCCGCTGGCTGGCCCACAGTGCCTTGCCCAAGGCACGCAGGTGCCGCCGCCGCGCCGTGGCGCGGGAGGTCAGCGAGCAGGCGTGGCTGCACCTCAGCGTGGTGGCGCTCAACTATGTGTTCTGCGGCCGCTCGCAGGGAAGCTGGAGCCACAGGCTGACCCTGTCGAAGGCGCAGGCGCGGGTCTACGTGCATTTGAAGAGCCGAGCGGCGGCCTTGGCGGAGGACCCGCTCGCTATGGTCGTGGCCCCTGCGATCGACGAGCTGGCGGGCGGCTGCGAGTCAGCGTACGAGGGCGAGACAGGCGTGAAGGCCCTCCCCTGCCGGCTCTGCGAGCTGGCCCCTGGCCTGCCCACGCGGGAGTGCGCTGCCACGCTCGACGCTACCGACTTCGTTGGCGCCGAGGTCGACGCCTGGCTGCGCCGCCCCGAGCTGGCGCTCCTCGACCAGTCCGACTGGCCCGACCCGTCGCCGCGGGCCCGCGTGAACGTGGAGACGGAGGAGATTGTTTTTTTATCCTCTGGGGGGTAACGCTCGTTACCCGGGCCTCTCCCCCCCCCCCCCCCCGTAACGGTACCGCTCGTACGCGGGGGGGGTCTCGGTCTTCCCCTCCAACATGCTGGTGCCCGAAGGCATGCGCACTGTGGTGTGGTGGTCGCAGGCGCACTGTGGGCGCTCGCAGGCCATTGCGGCGCTCGCATGCGCGATGCTGGTGCTTGCGGGCTTTGCGCTTGTACTCGAATCGTCGTCGTCGTCGTCGACGGCGCCCGAAAAACGGCCTCCGGAGTCCGAAAAGGCGAAAAACGTCGTCGTCGTCGTCGTCGTCGTCGTCGTCGTCGTCGTCGTCGTCGACGGCGCCGAAAACGGCCTCCGGAGGCCGAAACAGGCGGCAAACGTCGTCGTCGTCGTCGTCGACCTCGTCGCTCGTCGCTCGTCGATCATCGTCGTCGCGCGCGCGGGCGCGGGCGTGGTGCCGGGACCACGCGGCGGGCTTTGCGCTTGTACTCGAATCGCAAGCCACTGTGGTGCTCTCAGGCAGAGAGTGCTGCTCGCGCGCATACTATGGCGATCGCAGAGCGCCCCTGCCTCGCCATACCCCGCCCAGCCCAAGCGTTACCGTTACCCGGGGGGCACGACCCCCCCCCCCCCCCCCCCCCGGGCAACGAGCGTTATCGGCCAGAATAAAAAAACAATCTCGAGGCGGACTGGGAGGAGCTGGTGCTGCACCTCGTGTCGCTCAGCATCTTCACCACGCCCGCGGAGAGCGAGCTGGTCCGCGTGAGGGGCGAGCCCGTGCTGATCGGCCTGTTCGCGGTGGAGAAGAAGGGCACCCCAGCGCCTGACGCCACGCGGGTCACCAGGCTCATCCCCGACATGGTGCCAGGCAACTCGCTCCTGAAGGCCCACGTGGGCGAGGCGGCGCTGCTCGCGGCCTCGGCGTCCTGGACGGCGGTCGTGGTCCCCGACGGGAAGCTGCTGCTGTGGTCGGGCGACGACCAGAAGGGGGCATTCTTCGTGTGGCGGGTCTCGCCCGCGTGGCACCCCTACATGGCCGTGGGGCGGCCGCTCGCGGGCGAGCTGTTTGGCCGCTCGGAGCCCGTCGTCTACGTGACCTCGGCTGTCATCGCCATGGGCTGGTCGCTTGCGGTGCCCGTCCTCCAGCACATTCGCCGACGGCTGTGCCGCCTGGCGCCGCCCCTCGGGGCGGGGCTTCCCCTAGACGGGGAGTGGCGCAGGGATTGGGCGCGGCCCCTGGTCGAGGCTGGCAGCGGCCAGGACGCTGGCTGGTGGCAGGGCTACATCGACGACTTCGATGCGCCGGAGATCGTCGAGGAGGTTTTGGCCTGCAAGCTCGTAGGGGCCCCGAGCGACCTCCAGCTGCAGGTCCGCGCCAGCTGCGAGAGGGCGAGCGCCTCCTTCTCGGCCGAGAAGGCGCACTGCAGGCAGCTGAAGGTCAAGCGCATGGGCGCGGACGTCGACGGCGTCGGCGGGCGCCTCGCGGTCCCCGCCTCCAAGGCGCTGGCCACTGCGGGCCTTTGCTTGGCCGCGGTGCCGCGGCGCCTGGTCCCGCGGCGCGTTGCCATGGCGGCCCTCGGCATGCTCGCGAGGGTCCTCGAGTTCAGGCGGCCGCTCCTCGGGGTCCCGCACTCCGTCTGGGCGCTGGCTGCGTCCTCGGCGCAGGAGGCTTACCTGGACGCGGAGATGGTGGAGGATCTTCTCATGGGCGTGATGGTCCGCCTCCTCGCTGCGGGCGCGCATCGACGGCATGGTCACGTCCTCGGACGCGCTGGAGATGGGCGGCGGCGTGTGCACGTCGGCCGGCCTGCGCGAGGACGTCGCCGCCGCCTTGCAGGTGCCGAGGACGGTCCCCGACCAGCTGGGGATAGGGGCCAGGCTCCTCGACATGGCCGAGGATCCCGCCCGACCGTGGGCGGCAGCCAACCCACGCGTCCCCGCCAGAGCAGTCCGCAGGGTGTTGTCGGTGCTGCTCATCTGCCTGTTCGACGGCATCGGAGGCCTCGCCGTCGCCTTCTCGAGGCTGCCCTTCCGCATCGCGGCCTGCGTCGCGGCCGAGACGGACGCCGAGGCGAGGCGCGTTGTCAGGCTCCGCTGGCCAGGTGTCATCGGCTGGGGCGACGTCACCCGCGTGGGCAGCGAGACGGTGCGGGACCTGTTCGAGGGGTTCGGCGGCCTCGTTGAGCCCGTGGCGGTCGCTGCGGGCAGCCCCTGCCATCGCCTGTCACGCCTCGACGTCGGCGGGCGCGGCCTCAGCGGTAGGGAGTCCTTGCTGTCCCACGAGGTGCCGCGTATCCTGGCTCTCCTCGCCGCCGTCTTCAGGGACAAGCTCGTTTGGGTCGTGGAGAACATGGCCAGCATGTCCAGCGTCAATGTGGAGCTGATCTCGGAGGCGCTGCATGTGAGACCGACGCTGGCGTGCTCGTCGGTGTTCGTGCCGTGCCGCAGGCCGCGCCTGTTCTGGACGAGCTGGGGCGTCACCTCATCGGCGCCTCTTCGGCTGACCGACCGCGGGGTCTACGACGAGCTGGTGGGCCCTGGCGTCCCGCTTATGGACCTCGCGTGGGAGGACGAGGGCGGCTCTTGGCCAGGGAGACCGGGGTACACCTCCCTAGCCACCCAGGGCTCGAACCCTCAGGACGCCTTCGACGCCAGGGCCTTCCTCATCGGCAACAGCTTCAGTATTCACGACGTGGCATGGTTGCGCCAGCAACTCCTGCACCGCCGCGGCGCGCTGGACAGGGAGCTGTCGATAGAAGAGGCGCCCCCCGTCCGCGAGTGCCAGGTGACGTGGGACCAGGCGGGGGCCTTCGTCACGGAGCCAGGGGGGCCGGACACCGCGGAGGCGAGACAGCTGGTCCTGCACTACCTCAGCCGCACGGAGAAGGGCGGGTCGGACGTCAGGCTGGACTACGGCGTCCCCTGCCGCCCGCGAGGTTGGCCGAGGACGAACCTGGGCCCGTTTGCGTGGAAGTGGCGCGTGGCGGTCAGCATGGCGTGGCCCGGGCGGAACTCCACCCACATAAGCGTGAGAGAGCTGCAGGCGGCCACGTCGGCGATCAGGTGGCGCGCCCGCAAGGTCGTGCGGCACGGGAGCAGGTTCTTGCACCTCGTCGACAGCCGGGTGGTCGCGGCCATCGTGACGAGGGGCCGCGGCAGCAGCAGGAAGCTCCAGCCCATCCTGATGCGCCGGATGGCCGTCGTCGTGGCGGCCGACATGTACCCACTGATCGGCTGCGTGGTCTCGGAGGACATCCCCGCGTGGCTCGGAGCCCAGGAGGCGAGGGCGACCCGTGCCGCGCGCGCGGCCGTTCACCGCAGGCCCGTGCCCGCAAGGCGCCGCGGGACGCGCTGCCAGACTCTCTTCCCTGACAGTGTCGGCGGAGACGCGGCGGCGCTACGGGCGGGCTCCGCGGGCCCTGCTGGCCCACTTCGGAGCTGAGCAGGCGGGGGCGGACGCTTTGCGCGGCGACCCCGAGGACGCCGACGCCCTCGTCGCGGAGTACCTCGAGGACCTGTGGGCCTCTGGTGCGGGCAGCGCGGCCGCCAGCAACACGCTGGCAGAGGTGTGCTTCGCAACGCCTCGCCTGAGGCGACACCCTGGCCTGAGCGGGACTCTCCTCAGGGCATGGAGGCAGCATGGGCCAGCGCCCAGGGTGCTGCTGCTCACGACCCAGGCCGTCGCGGCCATGGCGGGGATCGCTTGCGCTGCAGGCGCTCTCGACGCGGCCGCCCTGACGGTGAGCGACATCGTCGACCGCGACATCGTCGACGAGCTGTTCGTGGTCCGCGTCAGCTCGTCCAAGACCGCGGACTGCGCGGAGGCAGTCATCGTCCGCGGCAGGATGGCCGCGGTGCTCCTGCGGATGGCAGGCCGCGGCCTTGGTGCAGGTGCGCGGCTCTCCACCGCACGCCTGCGCATCGAGGGCGCGGTGGCCAGCTCAGTGCCCGCCAGCCCGGGAGCAGGGCAGCCCGCGCCGTTGCGCGAGGACTGCGGCTCCTGCAGCTGGCCACTGTAAAAGGCCACCGCTTGCGCCCTACAGTGCTTGCCAAAAATTCGGGCGTTTGTCTTCGCTGCGGCGAAGGCAACCGCCCTCCCGCCGTGGGGCCGCCTGGCTCTCTTTCTCTCTCTCTCTCTCTCTCTCTCGCTGGTCCTGGTTTCCTGGGGCCCCTGGGCCCGCCCGTTGTGTGGGGCGTTCTCTGTTTGGGGCCCACGCCCGTCTCACCTCCTTCGCGCTTCGTGTCACCTCCTCCCGTCGCCTCCCCCCGTCGCCTCCTCCTCGAACGTGCCAACCCTTTCGGGGCCCAGCGGCCGTGAGAGGGGGACCCAGGGGGGGGATAACACTCTGCGCGGCCTGCCCTTTGGGCGTTGCCGCGCCGCTCTGGCGGCTGCAGAGTGTTGCCCCCCTCCTGGGTACCGTCCTCACGGTCCTTGGACCCCAGAAAAGGCTGCCGTGCCGTGTGGAGGGCAAGGGCTGGAGAAGGGCGTGGAGTGGGGGAGTGTGCTGGGGGGCCAAACCAAGGGGCTGCTGGGGGGGGGTCTGGCACGCCTAGGGCCGCCCTGCGCGGTGCCTGCCCCGCGTCAGGCCTGTGGCCTGGCGCGGGTGGCGTGTCCAGACCTCCCAGACAGTCCTGTGGTTTGCCCCCCAGCACACCCCCGAGTTAAGGACCGGCATAAGTATGTCATTTTCAAGGGGGGGGTGGGAGTTAAACACGGACGGCCTACGTAGCCTTAAGGCCAGTAGGTGGGGGTGTTAGATAGCGTAGGCCCCCTCCCCAGATTGCTGTATGCGAACGGTGGAGCACCACCTCGCACGCCTTAGGTGGCAAGCGCGCGGTGCGGTAGGCGCCGCGTGCTTGCCGCCTAGGAATGCGTGGCGTAGGGTACCCTTGCATCCCGATGCGTACAGTAGCTGGGGGGTTTGAGGGGGGTCTAGCCTACTCTGACCATTGGCGTGTCCGCACGCAAAAAGGTGGGGCAGGGTATGTCCGTATACTGGTTCCCTGTATGCGTATACCCGTCTTCCCCCCTTTGGCCAGGACACGCCGCCCCAACACGTCCGTAGCCTGTTTGGGCCCCCACCCGCGGTCCACCCCTTCCGTGTTGAGGCGCGCTTTCTGCTGGTGCCGTAGCCCAGAAGATAGCGTAGGCCCCCTCCCCAGATTGCTGTATGCGAACGGTGGAGCACCACCTCGCACGCCTTAGGTGGCAAGCGCGCGGTGCGGTAGGCGCCGCGTGCTTGCCGCCTAGGAATGCGTGGCGTAGGGTACCCTTGCATCCCGATGCGTACAGTAGCTGGGGGGTTTGAGGGGGGTCTAGCCTACTCTGACCATTGGCGTGTCCGCACGCAAAAAGGTGGGGCAGGGTATATATATGTACATATATATATGCATAAATCACCCGCGAGGCCCCATCATGGGCCCCCGTGCGCCCCTGAAATCGACCCAGGAAGAATTTGCGTTTGCCAATATATATATATATATATATATATATATATTATAAAGAAGAAGAAGAAGAAGGGCCCGAATCCCAAACCCAAAAAATATCGAGCCTGGGGCCATCCTCTTCTCTCTTCCGCCCCCCCCCCCCCCCCCCCCCGCCATCATTTATCCTTTCTTCCTCTTCGTGCTCCTTTTTGTAATGATGCAATCAACCCGCGCGGAAGGGATGAGCAATCTTGCTGAGCCCTTGCGTTCTCGCCACTTCGGCCCATCTTTGGGCCATGCAGGGGCCGTGCATCCTTGCCGCCCATCCTTGCTACGCGAGTCGACTGCAATGCTGCGAGCGCCCCTCCCCCCCCCCCCCCCCCCCGCCCCCGCCCGCCCCCCACGCAGGAGCGACTCGCGAGCGCGGCCGCGCGCCGGGAGCTTGCGAGCGCCGAGGGCAAGCCCCTCGCCCCGCGGAACTTCGGCCGAGGCGCGAAGCGAGGCTTCGGCAACGGCGGCGGACCCCACGGCAAGAGCGCGGAGTGCAAGGGAACGCGCCAACCCCGAGCTGCGCCCACGCGGCGAGACCCAGCCACGCAGTCCAAGCTCCAGATCCTCCTCGACTGAGGAAGCACGCGGACGAGCACAGCGCGAAGAAGTTCGCCTTCCTGCCGCCTCGAGCGAGAGCCGAGCTGCAGCGCAAGTGGCGCTGGAGCCACGAGACGGTTGCCCGATGGCACGGCGTTCGAGTTGCCCTTGAGAAGAAGGTTGCCGCGGCGAGGCTCGGCAAGAACGGCCCCCGAGGCTGCGGGTGCGTCCGGGTGAACCTGCGCAGGCGCAGCGCGAGCCAAGGCGCCAGGCTGTCGCGCGAGATCCCTGGTCAAGTCACAGCCAAGCGCCCGCTCGAGGGCGTCGTGCGCCGCCTCGAGTGCCGGCGAAAGCGGGGGCGCGAGCGCGGCCGCGAGGTCAGGGAGAAGCCTTTTCTGGCGCGGCTGCGCTGCTAGCCGGCCTGCGAGCAGGGCGAGCAGCTCCACCTGCAGAAGATCGGCCACCAGAGCTACAGCGCCAAGGTCCTCAAGAGGGTGACCAAGCGCCTGGGTACCTTCTTGGTTAAACAGACGACCAAGAAGGACATGCAGGGGGTGGGCGAGTTCGCCCTCTCGAGGATAAGCGCGAACGGGCGCAAGGGCCGGCGCCTCTCCGACGCGAGGAAGCATGCCCTCAGCAAGGAGAAGGCCAAGCTCACGTGGGCCACGGCGGACAGGTAGTACTAGTAGAATTTGTCGCAGTTAGTCGTACTAGTGGTAGTGCTCACTAATACTAGTAGTCGTGGTAGTAGGAAATAGTTATTAGTAGTGAGAATTACGCGTGCGAGTCGTAACTACTACTACTACCACGAGTAACTGGACTAGTCGCTGGATCGAGCGCGCCCTGCTAGAGATCCGAGGCGAGGGCCGCCAAACGCGCGATGTGCGCCCGTGGCAACGAAAGGAAGGCCAGCGACAACGTCTTGGCCAGCGACTACAACGACTCACTATTATTATTATTACACCAGGTACTAGTAGTAGTAGTAGTAGTAGTAGTAGTAGTAGTAGTAGTAGTAGTAGTCGCAGTAGTAGTAGTTGTACCACTATCACTACTACGAACGAGGAACTATTATTACTAGTACTAGTACTAGTACTGCTACTACTACTACTACTACTACTATTACTACTACGACTACTACTACTACTACTACGACTACTACGACTACTACGACTACTACGACTACTACGACTACTACGACTACTACTACTACTACTACTACTACTACTACTACTACTACTACTACTACTACTACTACTACTACTGCTACTGCTACTACTACTACTACTACTACTACTACTACTACTACTACTACTACTACTACTACGACTACTACTACTACCACCAGGTTCGTGTACCCGGTGGCGAGGGGCGGCTCCGAGGACCTCCGCCCCTTCGTCGGGGGCCCCGGGAGCTTCGCCCAGCGCAGAACCAGCGCGGGCGTGGTCGTCGTCGACGCCACCGCGCTCTGGCTCAAGCTCTGGGGCGAGGAGCGCGCGTGCGTCCGCGAGAGCGAGGTCTCGGCGACAGCGAAATGGGTACGGAAGGAAATTGTACAATGCCCAACAGCAGTTCCTGTTTTATTTGAATGGACACGTTGCGCTGTCGGTGTCGCCGCGGCCTGTGTCCATTCGAGACAGATGGCCGCCTGCCCAACAGCGGCCGCTGTTGGTTCGGGACAACATTTGTTGTGGGGCATTCTTCCCATTCTTTCCGCGCGCATTCCGGGCGCCCAAAAAGGCGCGCGCCGCGGGTGCCAAGAAACGCATCGATAACCTCCGCAAGAAGTACCGCGAGACGCGCAACGAGCAGGACAAGGCAGCTTTCGAGATGGAGAAGGCCAAGTACTTGGCAGACCACCCCGACCACATGGAGCAAGTGGAGCAGGCGTACTCGAGCGCAGGAGACAAGTACCGGATCACCCTCGTCAACATCCGCGGCCGAGAACTGGTTCGACCCGAGCAGGCAGCCGAAGTCCGCCAAGAAGCGCAGCGCGCCCCGCGTCCCCTGCGCAAGGCGCTGCCGAGTCAGCGACACGAGCCTCGAGGAGGGCACCTGGCGGCGCGACGTCACCTACGAGCGGAGCGATGGCGAGACGGAGCGCTTCCGAGCAGGCGAGCCCCTAGGAGCATTGCTCAAGGGCTGGCGCAACGCTCTGCTCGAGTTCTCTGAGGCGGAACGCGCGAGGGTCTTCGAGGCCATCGACGCGCTGGGGCAGCCGAGAGCCTGGGCGGACGGGCTGGTGGCAAGCTGGACCATCGACTTCATCGAGCAGGAGCGCGGCCAGAGCCTCGCGTTCGCAGGCTGCCCCTCGAGCCAGTGGACCGAGGCAGCGACGCTGCGAGCGTGGCTCAATAATATCATCTACGCGCCCATGGCCCCCGACGCCACGGGCTCCTCGCAAGAGCCCGACGCCCGCGAGCACAGCCAGCTCAAGGCCAATATCCGAAAGGTCAAGGCCGAGATGCACTGGGCTTTCGAGCAAGACTGAGCCCAGCAGGCCAAGGCCGAGTCCAGAAGGAGTACAAGGCCCCGACGAAATGGGGGCCCTACGAGTGCTTCTACTGCGTCTCCGAGGCCCGCGCCCGCTTCCGCGAGCCCAGGGCGCGGTGCCGCTCCCAGGGCTGCGAGCCAACCAGACGCTCGCGGTCCGGCCGACAAAGCAAGGCGAGCTCGAGGTCGTTACGGGCATGGGGCCGCGCGAGGGCATCCAGAGTTGGCCCGAGGGCGCGCCGCCCGAGTCCGAGCGGAGCGCCCTCGAAGGCAACTGCTTCCACAACGACGACTTGCCGGGGGACTACGAGGAGGGCGAGAACCCCTGCCTCCTGGAGCTCGGAGAGCTGGACCTCGAGTTCACCGACGAGCAGAAGGGCGTGCTCAAACCGCCAGAGGAGCGGATCAAGGACATCAAGTTCCCGCGCGCCCTCGATAACATGATCAAGCTGAAACGGACAGCTAAACGCAAGGAGAGGCGGGCGCCCAAGTTCGCGGCCAGTTCCGTGACAAGCGCGCTCGCAAGTGGCAACGCGAGAAGGCCAATAATGGCGGCGAGACCTCGCTCGAGCACCTCAGCAGAGGCGCGGCCAAGGAAAAGCTCACAGGCAGGACGCCGAAGGCGCGCGCGAGCTTCTCGGATATGTTCAAGCAGAAGAAGCAAGCGGCGAAGACCGCCAAGAAGCAGGACAGGGCCAATCAGAAGCACGGCCTCGAGGCCTGCGAGGAGCCCCCCCCGGCACGGCGAGGTGGCGCGCGCCACCGAGGAGGGCAAGTGCGAGGGCAGGCGCGGCAGAGTGCAGGACGTCTGGCGAGTCCTGGGCGCCGAGGACGGGCGCCGCCTGCGCGTCCTCGAGGTGGGGGCCGCGGCGATTACTCAGATCGACAGCGGCGAGGCTGGGGGGGTCACGGGCACTCGTTAGATTCCGCCTGCTTCTGCCTGGGGTGGCGGAAGCAGGCGGAATTTGGCGGACAGGAAAAGGAGCGAAAGCGAAAGCAGGCTGAAGCAACGCAAAGCAGAAACATGCGGAACTTAACGAGCGCCCGCGAACCCCGAGCGCCACAGGTCACGATCGAGCAGGACGACGAGTTCCCCAGGCCGCGGAAGCTCGATTGGCGCCAGACAAGACAGGCGCGCCGCACCGCGCTTGCCAAGGAGTGCGCGATCATGAGCTGCGAGCAGATCGTCATGGGCATCACTCTCGAGCCGGGCACGGCGCGCGCGCTGCTGGGCGAGATCGAGGAGCGCGCGGGCGTCGCCGACGACGTTTTGGCGGTCGAGCCCACGGCGGTCGTCGCTTGGGCTCGAGAGGGCCAGGGCGAGGGCGCGCCCGCCGCCAGGCAGCCCGAGGATCAGAAGCGCTGGGCCGAGAGGGTCGACAGGGCTCAGCACGCGCTGGTCTGCGTGCACTCCGAGGCGCCCGCGCACTGCGCGCACCTCAAGGTCGGCGGTTGCTGCAATGCCCCCTCCCCCTCCCCTGGGTGCCTCCGGCGTTTCGCCTCGGTCTGGGGCAATCCTGGAGGCGCCTTGGGCAGGGGGCGCGCGCGGCAATTCCCGCCGGGCCACGAGGATCGACGGGGGCGGCGTCGTGGTGGAGTACCGCGACGCCCTCGAGCTGCCGTCCGAGAACGCCAAGCAGGCCCAAAGGGACCACGCGCGAACTCACTCCTGCGCCCTGCGATTCCTGAAAGGGGAAGGTGGGGTTCACTTTCCTCGGGAGCTGCCGAGCGAGGTGTGCCTCGCCCTCCTCCTCCTCCTCCTCCTCCTCCTCCTCCTCCTCCTCCTCTTCTTCAGAAATCGCGGGTAGGGTTCGCACGTGGCCTCCCAAGGCCGCCGCGAGGATCCCCCGCGTGCTCGGCGCCATTGACCCTGGCGAGCATTGCCCAGCGCCGAGCAACAGGCGGTGCCAAGTAGACGGTGCGGACTGCGGCCTGTGGACGAGTCGCTGGACCGAGCGCGCCCTGCGCGAGATCTTTGGCGAGGGCTGCCAAATGTCAGCAGCCCTCCGCGCCGTGGTCGCCGAGGCAACGAGTTTATAAGTAAGCTCGAGGATGCTAGTGACAACGACGCGGCGATGGCCGAGGCCAAGGCCAAGGCCAAGGACAAGTCCAAGCTCTGCAAGGGCCCTACTGCGGCCGAGCCGAAGCGCGCCACGTACGAGGAGGCCAGCGTCGCCGCCCAGCTGTGCACCGATTGTCTCCCATACATGGACGGCTCCGAAGGATGCCGTGCTTGCGTGGGGGAGTGGTTCCATGTCCAGGGTAAGAGAGGGCGTCTTGGCCAAATCGGCCAAGGACTGGCAAAATCTAGGCGCCTGCTTAGCCGCGAGCCTCAAGATCGCTCGAGTCAGCCATGCGTCGTGCGCCTCTGTGGGCAAGTAGCCGCGAGCCCCGAGATCGCTCGAGTCAGCCTTGCGTCGTGCGCCTATGCGGGCAAGTAGCCGCGAGCCTCGAGATATCTCGGGTCAGCCTTGTGTCGTGCGCCTGGCTTAACATCCTCCTCCTCGTCCATCATTGTCGTAATCACCATCATAACTTACTCTCCCCGGGGAAATCCTTTGTTTTATCCCTGCGGGAACCGCGAACTTTATGATCCCAGGGTTTTTATATCGCCCGCGAAGGGTTGTGTTTGAAGGTATGTATTTGTGTATGTATGCATGTCAGCATGTATGGTTATGCATACATGCGCGTTCATATGTCAGATAATATTTCCACATACGTTCGTACTATACACAAAGCGTTGGCCATGTGTACCTGCGTGCGACATGTCGGGATATATGCAGCACCCCACAGTCGCGGATAAGAGTGAAGGGGGCGGCGGGCACGTTGGCAGTCTGCGAGTCTATGAGGAAGCCCGCCACAGGCGCCTAACTTTTATTTTTTCCGTGAAAGCAATATGGGTGGGTCGTGGGTGGGTCGCGGGTGAGTCGCGGGTGGGTCGCGGCTGGGTCGCGGCTGGGTCGCGGGTGGGTTGCCAGTGGGTCGCGGGGGGGTCGCGGGGTGGGTCGCGGGTGGGTCGCGAGTGTGTCGCGGGATGGGTCGCGGGTGGGTCGCCAGTTGGCCGCGGGCGGGTCGTTGGGTGGGTCGCGGGTGGGTCGCAGGCCGAGTCGCGGGGGGGCGTCACCGAACAACAACAACACCACCACCAACAACAGCAATATCACCAACAACAACAACAACGACAACAATTACAACAATAGTACCAACAAAAACAACAATAACAACACGACATATTCAAACAAACAAGCACACAGTAAAAACAACAATGATCCGCATCGCGATATCCCATATCAGCCACGCAACCACTGACAGTGAATGACCGTTCGGGATCCTCCTTCTGCAGTGCATAAACATGCCAGCCGGTGAGAACCCCACACACCGAGTGTATCATCCTGTGTTGCGCAATGCATGTAGAACCATCGGTGTTGTGAAATATATGTGGTGCAACCTGTGTTGTGCAATCTATGTTGTGCAATCTATGTGGAACAATCTGTGTGGTGCAGTATACCTGGTGCAACCTATGGTGTGCAATCCACTTCGATTGTCTTGAAGCTGTCCTCTCCACTGCTCGTGCAAACATCCCACCCTCCCACCCGCAACTTGGTCGCAAGACATCTTCAGACCACGACGGTGGATACCAAATGGCTCTTGGCGACGACAGCGACGCCGACGACGTCAGCGACAACAACGACGTCGAAACCGTCGCCGACGACGACTACGACGACACCGACGACGGCTCCGACGACCTCGACGACGACGACGACGATGACGACGACGACGACGGCGGCGACACCGACGACGACAATGACGACGCCGACGACGACGACGACGCCGACGCCGACGACGACGACGATGACGACGCCGATGACGACGACGGCGACGACGCCGACGACGATGACGACGCCGACGACGACGACGGCGACGACGACGCCGACGACGATGACGACGACCGACGACGACGGCGGCGACGACGACCGACAATGACGACGCCGACGACGACGACGCCGCCGACGACGACGCCGACGACGATGACGACGACGACGACGACGACGTCGGCGACACCGACGACGACAATGACGACGCGACGACGACGACGACGCGACGACGATGACGACGACGACGACGACGGCGGCGACGACGACGCCGACGACGATGACGACGCCGACGACGACGGCGACGACGACGCCGACGACGATGACGACGACGACGACGACGTCGGCGACACCGACGACGACAATGACGACGCCGACGACGACGACGACGCCGACGCCGACGACGACGATGACGACGCCGACAACGACGACGGCGACGACGACGCCGACGACGACGCTGACGACGACGCCGATGGCGACGACGACGACGACGCCGACGACGACGACGAATACGACGACGACGTCACTAACGAAGACGACGACGACGAGTG